ACCCGGACCGCCTCTGTCCTCCTCTGACCTCCTGCTGACCTCCTCTGATCTCCTCTGACCTCCTGCTGACCTCCTCTGTCCTCCTGCTGACCTCCTCTGATCTCCTCCAACCTCCTGCTGACCTCCTGCTGTCCTCCTCTGACCTCCTGCTGACCTCCTGCTGACCTCCGCTGACCTCCTCTGACCTTCTGCTGACCTCCTCTGACCTCCTGCTGATCTCCTCTGACCTCCTGCTGACCTCTGACCGCTGTGTTTGCAGGTGGAGCGTCTGAAGAACACGGTGCTGCGAGCAGAGAACCAGACTCGACTGCTGCGCCGACGAACGCTGCGACCGCTGCAGGAGGTGGAGACACGCTGACACTAGTCCACCGATGTCAGACCGCTGTGTAGAACGGTCTGCTGCTCCCATCAGCGCTTTGCTGCAGGGGGACATGCTCCCACTCTTTAAAACCATCACAGTTGTTGTGGGCGGAGCTAAAAACTGGAATCAGCGATGGTGTTCCTGAGAAACAGCACCTGCCTGGTTGCTGTACTTCATGGTTGAACTCTGCTGCTGGAACTTGAAGTGTTGCGTGTGCAGGTCGCTGTTGTTCCTGCGTGACTTTAAAACAGTCACAAGTAGTCTGAGCCAAGCAGCTACAGCTCACATGGTTCAACTTCTCATAAATACCATCTGCTGAAACGAGATGAAGCGAGTTCCTTTGAGGACCTTTTCTCATTTTGTTCCTTTAAACTGTTTTTATGGAAACATTTGAATAAGTCTGAGTTAATTTCATCCATTCAACCTGCAGAGAAACAGAGTAACTGCAACACGGAATAACACGCGAACATGTGTGTTTCAGAGCAGGAGTCTGGCTCTGCCCACAGGAACCTTCTTCCATCCCAGCAGACTGGAGGAACCGAAGGAGGAGAAACAGGAGGAGAAACAGGAGGAGAAGAAGGAGGAGAAGAAGGAGGAGAAGGAGGAGGAGATGCAGCAGCAGCAGCAGCAGCAGCAGCAGGGTCCAGCTCTTCCCCAGATGAACCTCCTCACCACAGTGTTCAGACTGAGGAGAGAACTCCACCGAGCAGAGGAGCAGAGAACCAGGGTGAGGAACAGGAGGAGCAGAGAACCAGGAAGTGTTTTACAGCAGTTAGTGTTTCCAGATGATTCACATGTTGCGTTCAGGGTCTACATGAACGTCCATGTGCAGAATTAGATGGGTTGGCTGTCTCTGTCCAGAGATGCGTTACAGTGTTTCAGAGGAGCACACAGCAGAACCACGTCTTGGGTTCTAACCCGCATCCCTCCAGGGTTTCAGTTTCACAGACCTTGTGTGTCAGGTATCTGCCCTGGTTCTGGTCCGTGGAGGTGATCTGTGTCTCTGTCCGGTTCTGGTTTGTTCTCAGAGTGTGGAGGTGAAGGAGGAGATGGAGCTGCGCTGCGCTCAGCTGAAAGGAGACGCTAAGATTTACCGTCAGCAGAACAAACAGACCCTCCGACAGCTGGAGGAAGTGATCAGGGAGAGAGACCAGGTGAGGCGGTGTCTGGTAGCGCTGCTCTCCAATTGGTGTTTCAGGTGCCGGCATCACGGCCGCAGGGCGATGATGTCAGTGATGATGTCAGTGAGTGTGAGCTCTCTGATTGGTGTTTCAGGCACTGGCATCGCGGGCCGAGCAGCAGGAGGAGGCGCGGCTGCTTCTGCAGGAGAAGGATCAATACAGGGAGCAGGTCAGACAGCTCACCGAGCAATCTGATAGGCTGGAGCTGCTCCTGCTAAAGACACAGGGGGAGGAGCTACAGCTGAGGACACGCCTCCGCAGAATCACCTGTAACTCTCACCAGGTGAGGGTCAGGAGGAGAAGGAGGGTGAAGCAAATGAAGGTGATGATGTAATGATGTTGGCTTTCTCCCACAGTGTGAGAGGAGTGTAAGCAGCGAGGAGGAGGAGGAG